TTTACAAATTAACCCACGTCTTCATGGGCAAAACCAGTGAGAAATGAAGTGTAGGGCCTTTTTTCTTTTAAACTTAACTCTAAGAATTTTTCTTACTCTATCAGTAGATTTGTGGTAGGGCTTTTGGTTTTTTCTTTTCTTTTCTTTTTTTATTTTTATTTTTTGGCAACCTTGCTCTTAAATCTTTTCATTTCTCATTGTATTTCTTATTTTTTGAGGTTGGGTAGGGCTCAAGCCTAACCCAACCTCCGAGTAGTTGTGTCCGTACACGTCTTACGTTATGACCCTGTAAGTTGTTTTAAAGAATCAATCCGAGAGAAACCGAGTCTCCTTATGAAAAAGATATCGAATTTCACTTGCATGACTTTGCTTCATTATGTAATTGCAATACTGACTTCATAATTGTGATGTCTTTTATCATCTCCTCTCAAACCCCACAAACTAATTGGATTTGTTACAAACCCACGTTTGCGCTTTTTTTGATCTTACAACCATTGGACTTTTTCTATTAATTAATGAAAAACAAACACATATTTTTATAACATATTATTAAAAATATTTAAAAAGTAAAAAATAAGAGTAGTTTTAATACTATTAATTAAATAAATATTTTTAGTTACTAATATTAAATTTTATTTTAAATAAATTTTTAATTCTTTATTTTTTTAATTTTAGTTATTAGTAATTACAAAATTTATAAAAATCAAAATTTAAATTCAAAATTACAACTATACTAAATAAAATCTAAGTTTTTAAATGTTTTTGGTACCATGATGTACGTAAAGCATTAGTAATTTTGAGTTGATATTAATTGATGACACTATTGAAATGTAGGTGCTCCTCTTTTTTTTATTTTTTGAAAAACGATGGTGTATTCCACAATTATAGATGCCATACCTTGGATCCAACTGTTTACAACAATGCATCATCAACAACAAGGATGATAATCTTGCATGCTAAATGGGAAGCACTTGGATATATGGAAATTTTTATATTAATTCTTATGTCATTTTCTTTTTTAGGTTTATGTTTATTATATC